TGGGGGGTGGGTCACCAGCTCAGGAACAGCCTTCAAAATTTTAAGTGAGCAGCTACGTTCCAGCAGTGCCCAAAAGCTGCTTCCAAGTGCCCCTCAAAGTGCAGCAAGTGAGGCTTCTCAGCTTCCCATCTCAGAGCTAGGTGTGCTTTCAACCCCACCAGCACTGCAGGACAAGTGGGAATGTTTTCAGCCAGGAGAAAATGCCTCTCACAGAATGAATTTAACAACTCCCCCTCTCCTGAGGGCAGCTTCGAGGTGCTGCTTGCCTCCACTCCTCACTCAACCAGCCATTAATTTTGTCCATGTAACGACCAGTAGCCTTCCCATGAACCCATTAATCTGGCATTCTGGGCAGGATGCAGATTATTGCTATGAAGATGGCAAGAAGACACTACCCTTGCCTCCCAGTGATGTTCGTGGTCATCTCAGGAGGCCTCAGCAGCCCATTTGAACCTAGAGGGTGGGCTTGCATAACCATTTTTGCTTGGCATCAGTTTAGAAGAACTGTGGTTCAGTGCAGCTGCTACAGCTTTCTTTGTTATTTTTAGGACAGAAGACTTGATGCTAGGCTATGAGGGATGAGGATATCCTTCCTCCTCCCCCAGCTCCTGTCTGAAGCACCCTCAGAGCTGTAGCTACAAGCAGAGGACTTCTCAACAGCAGGGGAAGTGTTTGCTTGACAAGGGGAGCCCTTCCACCCAGAGACACGTGTCTGTTGAGGGCAATCTGTGTGCCCACTGGGAGCAAAGAGCCAGCTCCAGCTGCAGCCTGGGTCACCAGGAGCTGTGGTGGCTCAGGAAACGTGGCTGAGTCACCATCTGCTCTGAGCACCTGGAAACCTGGGGCTGCAAAGGAGGGAGGAAGCCAAAAAAATGTATGTTCATCTCCAGCAGAATCCTTCCCACTGGAGAGCAGCTTCTGCTTAGCTCACACTGCTATGGGGCAGCTCTCCTCTTTCAATTTTTTAAAATCCCAGATGTTTGGCACCCCAGAATAATTCTTCTGATGGGAAGTGGGTGCAATGTGAGTGGTTTTTCCCTAGCCTCACCCTCCCTACACACCAACACCCACAGCAGGGACACCTTAAAGGAGGAGGACATCATCTCCCTCACTTCCTCAGGGTGCTGTGGACTCCTCCTCCTGTTCTTCCAGGACAGGAAGGAAAATGTTGGTACTCAGCTGAAGGCCCAGACAGGTCTCAAAGCAAAAGCACAGCTCCTTTTTCAAGCCTGAGGTGTCTCTGGGCTCCAGTGAGCCAACCTCTCCATTCGTGGCAGGGAAAACCTGATGAATTCCAGCTCTGGCTCTCCCTGGCAGGAGACAGGATGAGTCTGACAGTTGTTTCCGTCCCTGCTCCTTGAAAGAAAACAGCACTTAGGTTTTTCTCCAGGGCTTTCCTCTGCTGTGCACACTGCCTGTTTTTCTCATTCCTGAAGAAGCCTCTTGCCTGCCCGAATTTCTGAGCCCACATCCTGCCAAATGGGGCAAAAATACAGCCCCTGGATGCTTCAGCACAAAGCCACCCCAGCCTGGACATCACCCACATTGCCACAAGTAGCCCTACATGCTCTTCAGATGGAAAGGTGGCTCAAACCCAGCTGGGAACAGGCTAGGAAAGGCAGTGAATGCCCAAGCTCCCACCACCTGAAGGCTGCCTGGGGAGTGTCAAATCACAGAATGGTTTGGGTTGGAAGGAACCTGAAAGATCTTCTAGTTCCAGCCCCCCTGCCATGGGCAGGGACACCTCCCACTACACCAGGTTGCTCAAAGCCCCATCCAATCTGCTCTTGAACAAATATCCAGTAATGGAACATCCACAACTTCCCTGGGCAACGTGTTCCAGTGTCTCACCACCCTCACAGTAAAGAGCTTCCTCCTAATCTAATTCTCCCCTCTTCCAGTCTGAAGCCATCACCCCTCATCCTACCACCACAAGCCCTTGTAAGAAGTCCCTGCCCAGCTTTCTTGCAGGCCCCCTTCAGATACTAGAAGGCCACCAGAAGGTCTCCATGGAGCCTTCTCTTCTGCAGGCTGAACCACCCCAGCTCTCTCAGCCTGTGCTCTTCATTAGACACAGGACAGAGGAGTGACACTGAGCAAACTAATTCAGGCACCACAGGTATGGACAGAGAAGTTACAACCCCAGGATGGGTTATTAAACACAGGAGAAGAACAGGTATTTTCAGATGTTACTGTTTTAGTCAAATCTTACTTCATTACCTGTGACCAACTTGGAAAGCACAGGCAGAGAAATGCAAAATCCTACCAAGGGAGTTTTCCGTGAAATCTGCAGCCTTTAAAGCAGAGGTAGCTCCCTTGGGAGTGGAAAAGACCTTATCCACTACAACTCTGGGGCTCTCAGGATGCAGGAAAATGAGCTGGAACAACGTTCAGCAGTTACTGCCCTCCAGCTGGTGAGAACTGAGCTGCCAGTGGAAACGGCTCAGAGGCAGCCAGGCTTAGTTTAAAACCCTGGGGAAAGTGATCTGAGCTGACCTGGGTAATGCTGCATGAATACCAATCAGGGAGCACTCAGAGGGTAAATCCTGGCAACACCCTCTTGGTGAACAAGAGGGGGGAAAGGGGGAAACAGGCAATTGCACCTTAAACCACACAGGCTGCTCCCCAAGCAACAGGCCCCTCGGGAAAAGGGGGGACAAGACATCAGAAGCTTGGAGCTGCAGGTGAAGAATTAACAGACAAGGAAAGAGCCCAAAATGCCATTTGAGAGCCACCATGAAGGGCTCGTTTGGAGCAGACACCCAGGTGGCAACCTACAAAGGAATCCCTCGTTCCATGGGGCAGCCTGGACCTGCCTCTCCTTCCCACCCAGCTCCAAGCATGGCTGGCAAGACTGCCAGACCTCCAACTTCCTACCAGTTCCTGCTGTAGCTGTTTGTCTGCCACAACTCACAATAAAGACACTTCTCTCTGCATGGGCCACACTCAGCTGCTTCCTTTAGCACAGGTAAGTCTGCAGCTCCCACTCTGCTCATCACTGTGTGTGAAAAACCACATTCTAAAGCACCAGTGAGTCAGTAACTGGACTCTGCAAAACTCTGCAGACCCAAAGGAGCACCAGAGACAGCTCTACCCCCCCTCCAAACTCCAAGGAGTACCAGCCTCCTTAATTGTTGTGAACTAATCACTACCTTCTCCCCAGCTCCTGCCAAACAGTGAGTGTTAAACTCCAGTGTTTTACTATTCTTCCCTCGACACAACATCAGGAGGGAAAGAACAGATTTCCTCAGTCACGTAGCTGCTCTGGGCAGGCAAATCACCACCTCTGAAACATCAGCAGCACATTTCCTACAGGTGGAGATGGTGGTTAGGAGGATTCACTGTGCAGGGAGGGAATTCTACAGGAGCCCTCAGCACTTTTGGCTTGGAAAGGGCTGTGGATCTGAGTGCAGCTCATCCAGCTCAAGACAAAGGTTTTTTTGCCAGGCCAGAGCTTGTTTAAACGTGCTTTTGGGAGCTTTCAGCAGGGTATCTGAACACTTCCTTCTAAGAAAGGAGCAACCCATGAAGAGCAGAGCGAGCACTCCCCTGCTGTGACCACAGACCTTCCTTTTTATGCCCAGCCAGGACAACTTTCTAACTCCACCCCCTTCCAAAGGAGAGCAGCACACCTCCCTGCCTGCCCCGCTACACGCCAGAGCGCTCCACCAACACACGGCAGGAAGGGCCAGGACCCTCCCTACTGCCCCGAGCTCCACCCCAAAAGAATCTGCTGAAAGCCACGTCACACTCCATGCAGCAGCATCCCTGTGTGTGCTCAGGGCAGGAAGCATCAGGCAGCAGGGGGTACGTACGGCAGGTGTAAACATCTCTGTACTCCATGTGCTCGTAGTCGGGAAGGATTTTCATAAAACGCCCCGACTTCACTCGTGGGTTTATACCTGAACAGACACAGCAGGGTGAGTACCAGCCAAAGGCTCTCCTGACTTTGCTCCCAGCTGGGGTGCACCGTTGGGTTTCCACCAGCCCCAGCCAAGGGTACACCCCCTTAGCAGAATTATTCCCACAGAACTCATCCCGTTCAACGTCCCCACGCGCACCATATTTACAGCTGGCACCCAGTGGGTTCAAAGTGGAGTCAGGGTCCTCCTCAGACCCTGGAGTGAGAGTGTAACAGGCACTGCTGTCTCAGGAAGACCACTCAGGCCAAGTAATGACACAGAGTAGCCCAGCCTTGGATTAGTTATGCTTCCTAGGGAGGAAGTTCCTAGAGAACTCAGTTCTCCCACTTCCCACCCTAGTTCTAACAGAAGTAGACTCAGCGGATGCAAGCAAGTCCTGCCAGAAGCCCCAAATTAACTCTTCTGCAATTAATGAGGTTTATGGGACAGTGGGGAATATGGGGTCACATCACCAGGAAACTTGTCTACAAAGGGGGAAACTGCTCAGTCTGAGCAGGAGAGCTGAGGCAGTGCACCCCTGAAAGGCAGAAAGAGCTGCTGAGCATTCTGACTTCAGAAATCCTGACTGGCAACGGTTGCTCTGGACAGCTGTGGACACAGTGCTCACTCCACACTGCCACCAAACCTGTCTCAGAGGGTGGAACCATCTCAAGTGCAGCTCTTTGTCAGTGGATGCTATGGATTCAGTAATGGCTTGGGTGCAAAGAGTGGAAACACACAGGTAAGACAGATCCATGGAGGGCTATTGAATCAATAAACCCCATTTGACTCTGGAAATCCCCCAACATGAAGAGAGGCAGAAGCTGGAGGAACACTTAGGAAAGTGTCAGGTAGGTTTGCCCTCTTCTCAGTCTCCTCTGAGCAACCACTCACAGCCATGGCTGTGAGATACAGGACTGGGCTAGAGAGAGACCACTGCTGTGAGCCAGCAAGGCCATTTCCACGTGCAACTTGTACACAAAAAACACTAAATCTCACTTGAATGTGTCTGAGCCGTGGGACTCTTGCAGTGAAAAAGCCAACAGGTTGTGAAGAGATGTTCTGTCATCTCAGTCTGGCACTGCAGGATTGAGGTCAGAGGTGGGATGTGCTGTATGGCTGTTACCACACCAGTGTCACCCAGAGATCCCTGATGGAATGGGAAGCAAGGGAGAGGCCTCCAGTGCTGACCAGATTCCCCTGTGGGCATCTAAGTGCTGGCTCAGCATCACTCAGCCCTCTCACGCTGGAAAATTTGGAAGTTCCAGTCCTAGAGCACAACTAAGTAAAGAGGGACACTAGGCAATGCAATCATTTTCCTGTGAATGCTCTGCAAGTTTCCAACAGATGGGTTTAAACCCTTTCTATCCATTCTTCTTTGCAGCATTGAGATCAATGCTTGAGGTCATCACTGCTTCAAGGTTCAGCAAATACTGTCCCTGTAGAAGCTAAGCCAGACTTTAGATCTGCAGAGCCTACAGAGATCTCTCCTGATTGACCTCTCTGCTTTTACTTTATAAAGCAGGAACTTCTTTGAGCAGCCACAAGCCATAGTTCAAGTGCTGCAGCTTACATCTTGGTTTTTAATCTACAGACCTTACAAAACCTGTGGTTGGGAACTGAGAAAACACAGCCTGGCAGTGCTGGTATGGGAGCTCCTGGGGGCTTTGTGAGGCTCTCAGAGCAACCAGCTCAGCTTCTGACTGCAAAGGGCAAGATCTGCTGACAAGGGAGAGAGCCTCAGCACAGACCCAGGCCTCCATTCAGTCCTTGGTTTCTCTCACCCAGTGATGACCCCACTGCTCCCTGATCTAAGACAGAAGGTGTGCATCTACCTTGGGTCTAAGGAGTCAGGATCCCACTCCCACAGATGTTCCTAAAACACACCAACACCTCATCAGAGACCCAGCCCTGCCAGGCTCTCCTCCTTCAGGAGCAGCCCAGAGGAATGCTCATCCTTCTACCTGCAGCACTCTGCCACTGCCAGCACCTAACAGCCTCCTCTCACTGAGGCTTAGCTACACCAGGGCTATGAGAAAACACCAGTTAATTCCTTAACAAGATCTGAAAATGGCAAAACAGGAAAGGATGACAAACATTCAATGCCTTTATTATCAAGTTAAATGACATCCCCTTTCCCTAAAGGGCTGGGGGGCAAAGATGTCCCAATTCAATTAAATAAAACTCCAAATACATCAAGATCTTCATGGATTAAACCCCTGCCATTAGCAGGGAAGTCTGAATAACTGATGCTGTGGAAGTTTAATAAATACTCAACATATTTATGCTTTCAACAAAGCAAGGGCAGGCTGGTATCAGCTCTATCACTTACGTTTGGCATAAACATCTCGACAGGACACTCCAGTGATCTCCAATTTCCTCAGGTTCTCACAGACACCATATTCTGCAAAGACACAGATAGAAATGTCAGCTCTGGCACAAGGGTCTTTGCTACCCAGGATCTCTGGGAAGTGTGGAAGACAAACTCCTTCCAGCTGGGATTCTATGCCCAGTTAGATCCAATCATGACTGTGGGTAGTAATTATCTACTCTCACTGAGGTATCCAACAGGGAAAACTGCTCATTAGGCTCCTAAAGAAAAAGGTCACAGACTTTGAAAAGAATGAAATGGAGACATAAAACAGGCATCAGCATGTACAAATATGGTCACACTTGAAAGCAGACGAGATGGAGACGGGTCTGTTGTACACTCAAACGCCTTTGATTGCTCACAGAACACCCTGCAAACAAAGCAACCAGAGATCTTGAAGGCAGCTTTGAAGCAGAAAATGAGATTCTCTCCTTTCATTTTCAGCAAGTCAGCACCAAACTTCTAAGGAACTTTAAAAAAAAAAAAAAAAATAAAAGCAAGTACTAACATCTTAAAGCAAGATATCTTTAGGAGACCAGAGGGAGGAAGTGACAGGAGGGAGATCCCAAAAACATCAGCAGCAATAAAACCCACCCTGCTGCAGTGACCCTGACAGATCTCAGCACAGAGAGCTCTCCTTGACATCAAAGGCATCCACAGCACAGATGAAACACCAGCTTCCCTTAGCAATACCAAGCATCTGACAGATATTTGATGCAAAAGCCTATCTGTGAAGGCCCTCATCAAACCATTAAATATGAAGCTTATCCTCAGTTGTGCTTCTTTGCATGAACAATCCAGGGTGGCTGCCAAACACCACTACCTGCTGCTGGTAACCTGCTGCCATCTGAGGATTCAGCTGTCACAGAGGAGAAAAGGAGAAGTTTCCCTGAATGAATTCAGCCTCCTCCCATCTATAAATACACTTGTGGGACATGTGCAGGATGAGAGAGCAGGAGCCAAGCTGATTGTCAGCCTGCCTGTGGGGAGCACGCTCTGCACAACATCACCTGGGTAAGCAGTGAGTTCAGTGAAGAGAAGAGGAGCAGGAGGTACAGCAAACAGGCTGCCCTTTGTCCAAAGATGCAGAGAGGTGAGTGGCAAAGCTCCTGTTGGCTGCTGCAGCAGAAGGCAGAGGAAGCTCTGAGCGTTATCCAAGGCAAGGTGAGGTGAGGAAGCACAATTAGGCAGAGAGCAGACAGATGAGCCCTCAGGGAAGCCCATCCAGCCCAGCACAAACAAGCTACATAGTGCTGGGCTGCAGCCAACTGACCTGACACAGCTGCCCTGCAGAGCTGGGAAACCAGAGCTGGGAAACCAGAGCTCAGCCAAGGGCTGGAACTTCAGACCCAGGCCACAGCTCTCCCCCCATGCCAGAGCAGTCCAGGCCTCCAAACCCAGCTCTGTGTACACAGGAGGGTACACGTTTGGTCATGACAGCAAAGGGATGGAGGGAACAGAACGTTTCCCCAGCTGATGAGGAAGTTTTGACAGCTTTCTGACAGAAGCAGCAGAGTCACTGGAGGTATCTCATGCTGCATCAGAAAGGGAGGAGACAGGCAGAGGACCCTGCCCAAATGCTGCTCTCTAACAGCAGTACTAGCACAGTGACATCCTCTCTTCCTCCAGACAGGGCTGGTTTCTCACAGAGCAGTTTCCCCTCTCGATCACTCCCAGTGCAGCATCACAGTAGTTTCAAGATACCTGCTGGTAATGGATCAGCAGGGTGGGGTGGGAAGTGATTTGATGTTAAAGCTTCATCCCAGCTTCATGCAAAAGTCCTTGATAAACCACACTGCAATTTTAGGAAAGCCAAACCACTGCAAAGGTGCATTTCCTAAGTGCTGCAGTTCAAATCTTTCCTGGAAAGATTCAAAGTTCTCCCAAGTAACAGCAAGCTCCTTTGGAAAAAAAAAAAAAGACAAGCATTTAGAATTTTGATATTGTTACTTGATGTTGCACATCCAAGGCTTATAAGAAAGTATTATCAAGGAAAAAAAAATCTCATCTCAGTGTGCTTTAATACTCATTCCATGACAACTTGTCCTTACCCTGTGTTGTTCAGCAAACAACTACAAAGAGTCAAAATCCCAGAGTGAGGACTTAGCTCAGGGTAAGTGCCTCACTTAAGCTCTTCTGATGCATGAGCTGTTAACACAATGGCCTCTTGATGGGAAAAAATAAAAAAAAGTCAAGTCTCTTGGCTCACAGTGCCTACAAAAACTCCAAATAGCCTCAGCAAGAAAGCTGGTCCTCTCTTTTTAATCCAGAAGACAAGAGGGACATAAAATTAGCAGTAGTAAGCAGAGCTTCAGGATAGAGAAAAATAAAACCAAGCATGTTTTCTGTACAGAGAACAGGAAGTTTTTTCCAAGAAAGCTTTGAAGGGCTTCCTGGGAAACTCCACTTTGGTGCAATTAAGTCTATTTTAAGGAAATGTATCTCAGTGCAACAGCTCAGGGAGCAAAGTCCTTGGAGTTAACAGCCACAGAAATTCACACACAGAATTTATACTGTTAGGAAATGGCTACTTAATCCTGCTTGGAAAGCAAGGGTGGAGTTTGGTTTTCACTTTCTTGACCAGCTGGAAAGCCTGTTTTATTGGGTTTACAAGGAGTGCTGGGGAGCTTTACCAGCCCCACAGAGACACGGTGCTGTTTCCATGGGGCCATGCACTGGAATTTAAAGGATTTGGAAAGGCAGGCTCCATTTATTATGAACTGCACTCATCCTTCTGCAAGGGGAAGGATTTACTCCCTGGCCTGCTTTCCTCAGCCTCCTGCTCCTCTCTGCAAGGAGCTGTGCCACACGTTGGCATTTAAAAACCAACCAAGCAAGCAAAGCTCTTCCAACCCAGGTAGGGAAGAACCCCTGTGCTCATATCCAAGTCCAAACTGCTGCTGTTTCCTGCTCTCTGCCAGTAAGCAGCTGTGGGTGGACATCTGCTGTTCAGAGGAAATTAGGATGTCTGGTTGAGCTTGATACTTTTAAACTTCCACCGTGCCCTGGCTAATCAAGTTCTCCAATTATTCCTGGATAAATGCACCTTTACAAGGCTGTACACAGAACAGAAAGCACAGAAATTTACTGGATTATCTCAGAGACCACAAAAATGGGGAAAGTCTCAGGCTACCACCTCTGAAATACCAGGTGGACAAGTTTGGAACTGCCTTCTTGTTTCCAAAGGCTGAACTATCAGATTAAAATACACCCAATACTTTCCCAAACCCTTCTCCCAGGGGAAAGGTTGTCGTTACCACTGAGATATCTTGCAGCCACAAATTAGGAGCTGAGCAAAAAGAGGTTTGATCTGCAAGAAATGAAAGCATCTGTGGAAACCCTAAAGCAGAAGATGCTTTAGATGCTTCAGATCTACAGCTTATAAACAGATCTAAGGGAGACCCTCTGAAAGATGGCTCTGGTGAGCAAGCACCAGCCATCAGCAGTGAGAAACAGCTGTCAGTCTAAAAGCCAAAGAAGATGGTCAGGGATGAATAAAAGCCCACCCTGGTTCACCAAAGAAAAACACCATATAATGGTTTAAGCTCCCATTAAGGGAGATTTCAGCTCCACGACTCATTAAAACCACCTTCAGGTCTCTCAGGCTGCAGCACTAGCAGAATTTACAGGAGCAGTTGTGCATCAAGCTCCTGTGTGGATTCTCCACTCCTCTAAGAGCTGAACTCTATGCAACAGTCCCCCCACTGAGTGGATATAAACCTAATTTCCTGCTCCTCTGCCTATAAACCTGCTGGGGGTTAGCACCTTTAACACCTTGCCTGGCACTTCTCAGCAGGTCCAAAAGCTGTTGGAGGTTGTTTTAACAAACAAAAGCCTTTTCATCCACGTTCTAGACCTGGTTACTCTGAATTACTGGCCTGTTTCTAGGTGTTCTGCTGCACTCACACTGATTTATTTTAAGGTGAAAGCAGTTAACATTTAAATGGACTATCAGGTGTTAATCAAGGTAGGGCCAGGCCACCAGCCAGGGTGAAAGAGGCTTTAATTCTGCTCCCTCTGCAGAGATCAGCAATCTCCTATTTATAGAAAACAGGAAAGCCACTGGGATCATCTTCTTGCCAAAGAAGCAATTCAGAGACATTGTTTACCCCAAACAGTTGCAATGATAAAAGGACAACAGCCCTCACAGCCATGCCAGCCTCACACCACCACTTCTGGTAAATCCCAGCAGCAGAAGTCACTCTGCTTCCAGGAAGACAAGCCCCCTGGGTGCCTGCACTCATCACAACACCTTCTCAAGACTATTCTAAAATTGATTCCTCCCACAGCAGCACAGGAGCAAGATCCCAACACTCAAAGGATTGAGTGCCCTGTGTGACCTGGCAATGGCCAGGCTTCTTCTAGCCTGTTCAGCACTGACCCACCAAGACAGAGGTACAAAATGGCCAAAACAAAGCACTGCAACAACCAGCTCCCCTCAGAAAAAGCTGAAGGGATTGGGCAGATACAAGCAGAGACTTGAGAACTGTCCTCAGTGGGGAAGTGGCTTGTTTCTGAAAAAAAGATGACAGAAAGTAATTACATTTTCTGTCATGTAATTTACCAAGGTGCAGCCACACAGGACAGTAAATTTGAGAGGGGTGTGTATACACTAACACCTGATGTCCACAGACATCCTCAAGCAGTTCTCACCCCAGAGCTGCACACTCACATCTGAACACACTCAGTAGCTGAGCACGTGCCACATATCCCTGAAATACATGCAGAGAAACTCACTGTGAAACAGCTCCATGAAATGGTGGCCAATTTTACACTCGTGTGTACAGATACTCCAGGTCACAGCACTACTACAGCTACACACTGACCTGCACAGCTTGTGCACCATGCCTTTGTTACAAGATCTCACCTCCATCACACCAGCAGCTCACCAACATGCCCTCTGACAGCAGGTGGAACAGATACAGCAGGGAAATATAAGAAACAGTGTGTGGAAACAGAATAAAAATTTGCTTCATGCACCTCTCACCTTCCAGCTAAGGGCCTTGAGACAGGATTCCAGTCTTC